GAGAGGTTACGTCACATGACTCTCACTATGCTGAACAAGAGACGGTGCAAGATTCGCCATTTAACAAGTTATATTGGTTCCATCATCTCAGTCTGCCCGGCAGTCCAATATGGAATGTTACACACCAACGCCCGTATTCTGAGCTCACATTTATCGTTAAATGTACCTCTAAATGTTCCATAGATGAAGCCATAGATAAATGTGACGGTATTCTCAGTGCACATTTAGAGACACTTTTAGAGACGGTCAGCCATTTTTAGATACGATCAGTCTTAAAGAGGCCTTTTTAAGTCAAAATCCTATTCTGAACCACATTTATCGCACATTTATACGTATTTGATAAATGTGCCGCTAAATGTGCACCTAGGCACATTTAAGGTGCGATTTCACGTAGCTATGCATAGCCAGATATTTCCCCCACTCCATCGACATTTTGTCCCACCAGTCGAATTACACTCATAGCCAGATACGACCCTGATAGTTCGAATAATCGATCTATGGGATACGTATCTGAATTCGTTAATTTAAAAAAGAGGTGCGAGTGATTGAGAAATGGAGAAAGAAAATTACGAAGATTCTAGCGAGGTTAGTAAATATAAATAATATATTTCTTTCTTTCTAATATTATTAACTGAAAGTGCACCGCGAGAAGGGCGTTTTTCATAACATCATTTGAAATAGCACGTGTGTGGGCCATGTGCGTGTTATAAAAATTTAATTCAATTTTTTCTTATTATTTATTATTTTAGATATCACAATGCTACACGTGCGGGGTCTGTGAAACTATTTGTAATGTAGACGACATCCAGATCCATGACTGTGTACAAGATTACAGCGAAATCGTCACCGACGAAAACCTATATTTTTTCCCAAGAGACAGTAAGTATAATAACTGGATAATAAAAAGTTTGACGAAATTGGTGTGCAAATTCAAATCTTATTTCAATTGCTATCTTTATTTGTATTTACAGAAGACGGAAATATTGTACGGCGCAGCTTGGTCAATAGGGTCGAGCAGACAGTGATAGAGAGTACGCTGTGCAGCGGAAGTGTCACCAATGAAGGTGACAAAGACAACGCCTGGAATTCTAAAATTCGTCTGGAGAAGCAGCTTATTGGTGAAGTTCGTCAGAGACCGCCCCTTTGGAATTTCAAGCTTCCTCTCGCAGAGCGAGGCATTCGGATCAAAGAAAGACTGTGGCAAGAAGTTTCAGTCAAACTTGGTATATTATAATATCTTTTACATAATAATAGGCATTATTGTTTAACATTATTAATCGCATGTTTTAATTGAATATATTTTTTTCTATAAGCACATTGTCAGCTAAAGAGCTCAAAAAGAAATGGAAATCTCTGTGTGATTTTATCTTTTATCATATTTTTTATATGAATATACAAGTTTATAAGTTTATACAAATTTTAAATTGATAATTTTAAATTGATTATATAATATTAATTATGCGCAATATTAATAAAAATAAACACATTACAATCAATCTATATGATAAATGTCACTATACTAAAACGTTTTTTTTTTTTTTAATATAAAAATATTCGCTGACGAACACAGTGTTTTACTTTAACGACCCTCTTGCCACGCTACTGCTCCTTCGTTGTTAAAGTAATTGCAAAATTCATCTCGAATTGCTATGCACCTGCGAGCACTTGTGTTCGATCCGCATCGAATTACATCTGAAACGGTACGTTTGTATACGCGGAATAACTCGCCGGAGTCAGGAGTTCGGTCGGTTGGGGGCACGTAAAAGAATGCTCGGTGTAATAAAATAAAATAATTAAATAAAATAAAATAATGTTTATTTCGTAAATGCTAAAATCAAATATATACAGCCGTGTGGATACGGAACGTTTAGTATGTTTGTTCGAACGCGTATTATAAATTATAGTGGTGGTGCGAATGCGGTGTAACGGCGGTCGTACAGTGACGAAAAAGCGTCAGCGCAAGTGCGGGCGCCGCAGTTGTCTCTAGACGACTGCGAGCGCGTGGATCGATACGTTCAAGCGGCGTCGATGATTGATCGACTGATCGATAGCTCGGGCGCGTGCGCGGTGACTTGATGATCGCTGTCGATTCGATTGTTCGCGATTGCCTGCCGGATATAAGGACCCGATTTGAAGGGATGAAGACAGGAGCGAGGACGCGCGTATTGCCCGCGCGGTGCAATGACCGGTGATCTGACATGGAGCCGAGTATTCCCGGCAGTATACGAGTATGCCCGTATATAAGAACGAAGCCGAGTGCGCTCGGTAATATACGAGTATGCTCGTATTTAGGAAACGAAACCGAGTATGCTCGGTTATTATACGAGTGCGCTCGTATGCGAGGAAACAAAACCGAGTATGCTCGGTAATATACGAGTACGCTCGTATGCGAGGATCGAGGCCGAGTACTTTCGGTGACGTGCGAGTATGCTCGCACAGAGGAACGGAGGACGGTTTCTGGTGGCCGAGTATGCTCGGCAGGAATACGAGTATTCTCGTATCGAGATCTAGAGCCGAGTATGCTCGGCGGGGATACGGGTGTTCCCGTAACGTGTGGAAGCGGTTCCTGGAGCCGAGTATGCTCGGTCGGTGCACGAGTATGCTCGTGCTCGTGGGGCTACTGGTCATAGACTTCGAGTATTCTCGAAGGATTACGAGTGCTCTCGCAATAGGATGTTCACTGGCGAGCAGTGTACAGGATCTGGTCAAAAGGCGTACAGCCGGGCCTCTTTTATACCCGGCTGTCGCCCGACTGGCGAAGGATCGGCAAGCATCGGCGGTTTAGCCGGCGGACCCCCACCTGGTAAATTTTGAAACGGTCGGGTGTGGGGGACCGTCCGGCGATTGACCGTCGGTGTTTATGATTCTTTTATCGGCGCTCGATGCGCCCTTTTTGGCTATGAACGATGTTCGGTCCATAGCCGTGACGATGCATGCTGCATCGTTACATATCTGTAAATGCGCATCCAGTCTCCATGATCCTTCGCCAAGAACCTGGCCTAAACCCATTTGGGCCATTCGGAGCATCTTCGTCGACCAAACCTGCAGACACATATGTTTTGTCTATGTCGCTTTTTCGGAGCCAGTTGTGTAGACAAACTGTTGCTTGAACCATTGACTTCACATTTTCTGGGTTAGCAATTATCGGCCTTCGATATATTTGCCACTGACTTGCTAATATACCGAATGTATTCTCAATCATCCTCCTGGCTCGACTTAAGCAATAATTGTACACATCTTGCTGTGGCGTGAGTCCATTCCTATCTGGATAAGGGCTTAGCAGGTATGATTTGAGAGGGAAAGCTTCGTCTCCAACAAGGCAGTACGGCAGTACTCGTCCTCCTTCAACAGCTGTTGGCTTTGGCACATTTATGCAGTCTTCATCAAATTTATTGCCAATCGTGCTGGCTTGAAAAATACCACCATCGCTTTGTCGTCCGTAAGCCCCGATGTCAACATAACGAAAGATATATTTCGCATCGCAAATTGCCAACAATACTATACTATGAGCACTTTTATAGTTGTAGTAAGTCGAACCAGCATTATTAGGACACTGAAACATTAGAAATTATTGTTAGTACCGCAATGTATGTCCTTCTCTGTTGTGCATTATCTATTTTCCAATAATTGTACTATTAAAGCTGAACAAATAACACGAAAATAACTATTAACATATGTATATACGTACTTGAATCACAACATGCTTGCCATTTATGGCTCCTATGCAGTGAACGAAATCTCTCAACTCTTGAAAGTCCTGTGCAAGTTCTATCCACTCTTTTTCGGATAATACCGGCGGTAGAACTAAAGGGCACAAGCAGTCCCAAATTGCGGTACATGTTTCATGTATAATATTGCATACTGTCATCTTCCCCATGAGATATTAGAACGTCATGGATATCATGGAGTCATCAGAAGCCAGATATCTGAAATATTTAAAAGGCATATATATAGACAAAGTCCATTGTTGAGATAACAACAACTTTTGCCATCATTTCGTTTATTTTATATCCCGGTAAAGTAAACATGAACTTACCTCAAAGTTACTGCCAAACGTTCCGATGGCGTTATAGCCTCTCTGATAAAGTCTTGTTTTTGCAATCGGGGGCCAACAATAGACAATAAATCTTCCAACTGCGTTGCAGACATTCTAAAATAGTTATGAAAACGGATGTCTTCCAATTGCAACTTTGGCAATGATGTGTGAAAGAAACTGTGATCGGAGCGATTTTGGAAGAGCGGTGCTATCCAGTGCTGTTTTTTTTTTTGTACTTCCTTTTAACTCCATTGTTCTTTTTTTTTTTTAAATTGCAAGTACTGCAGCTACGCGTCGTCGCCTAACCTCTTCCGCCACCACTTGTAAAACTGCATTTCCGCATATTTCTCCTAATTGCTCGTCGCTTAAGTGGTTTGAATCGCCCTCCATTCCAAGTAGTAAAATGCCACAAAATCACTTTTATATTTTTCACAAAGTTTTAAAATAAAAGTATCTCTGAAATTCTCTCACAATACACAAACTTTATACATTTACAACTGAATAGCTGAATATGTTGTGGCGGCCCACTTGTCCAATTCCCCAGACGGGGAAATACGCAGATGGCGACAGCGGTCGACATTGCATGGAGACTCTTCTATAGCATACTTGTTCAAAGTCTCAGCCAACAAGAACACACATTCCCAAAGATTCCCAAAAAAGTATAGTTAGTTTCCGATCCCAGTAATTTTAAGTTCCTCTCGTTTTTCTGTGACCATAAGTTGGTCGCGGCTAGATTTTGTATTTTTGCAATAAACTTATTGTTAGAGTTAATAAAGTGACCGGAATTATTGCTGTCCTAAACTTCGGCGTTACAAATCGCGCCCCAGAGTAACACGAGACTCGAAGGGCGTATCGGCGAGAACGCGCACGTGGCCTGAACGCCATAAGTGGTGACCCCGACGTGATCGCCGGTAACATCTTCTTCGCGAAGTGACCTTTAGTGGACAGAGTGCCATCCAACAGGATGCCAGTGAACCGTTCGCCAGACAGGTCGAACGACACTTTTAACGTGCCGGAGACGGAGGACTTGCAAGGCCCGCGCGATAGCGGAACGCCGGGCTCGCGGATCAACCCCGCGAGAGGAGGCATGGCGATCGAGGCGAGCACCGTGCGGCTACCACCTTTCTGGAAAGAGAATCCGCAGCTATGGTTCGTGCAGGTGGAGGCCGCGTTTGCTATTCATCGGATTACAAGCGACGAACCAGGTTTCGCTACGTAATATTACATTTAGACCCGGCTATTCTTCCTTTGGTCGCGGATATCGTGACGTCTCCACCGGAAGTGGATCGGTACGCGGCAATTAAAGAACGTCTCACCACCGTATTAGGTGAGACCAGCGCTTTGCGATTGCGGAAATTGCTAACCGCGCATGAGTTGGGAGATGACAAACCGTCCATCCTCCTACAGAAAATGCGTAATCTCGCGGAAGGGCAGGTGACCGACGGGGTCCTGCGCACGATATTTCTCGAGCAACTCCCCGAAAATGTTCGCGCCATTTTATCCATATCCGAAGTGGGCGACTTGAGCAGGTTAGCCAACCAGGCTGACAAAATTCTAGACATGGCAAAACCCGCCATGTTGGCCGTCCAGCCAGTCACCGCTGAGACAGGAGTGCTCGGCAAGATGGCCACCGAGATCGCCACTCTAACCAAACAAATGGCGGCATTGAACAAGCGAATCGGAAGCCGGTCGCGTAGCAGATCACGAGGACGCAGCGGATATAGAGACCGCCCGAGGAGCAAATCTCGCGGCAGGGAAGATGACAAATTTTGCTTTTATCACTGCAGATTTGGAGCCAAAGCCTATAAGTGCGAAAGCCCATGCGAGTGGAAGGACGAAAAGAAGTCGGAAAACTAAGCCCACCGCCACGATGCCAGGCGGTCGTCGGCGGAAACCCAGGGAGCGCACGCCTGAAAATTCGCGATAGAACAAACGGCACTACTTACCTGATCGATACCGGAGCGGACGTCTCCGCGATACCGCGAAATCTAATCCGCGGTACGCTCCGACCTACTGATTTAAGGTTATTTGCAGCCAACAATACTGAAATATTTACATACGGCAGCAGAACATTGGTATTGGATCTCGGCTTACGACGACCTTTTCGCTGGGATTTCGTGATAGCCAATGTGAGACAACCGATAATTGGAGCCGATTTCGTGGTGCACTATGGACTCTTGCCAGATCTGAGGAATCGCCGACTGGTGGACCAGCACACGACCTTGTTCACCAGCACACGCCCCAGTCACACCGCACAGCTCTCCGTATTAACTGTGAGTAGCAGCTGTAAAATAAAAGATTTACTAAAAAAGTACATCGAGATCACGCGCCCTACGGCATTGTCAAATACAACGCATGAGGTGAAACATCACATCATGACCTAGACGGCCCTCCGCTAGCAGAGCGACCGCGCAGGCTAGCGCCGGAGAAATATGCAGCAGCGAAGAAGGAATTCGAGATTATGGTGGAGCAGGGGATCTGCCAACCATCTTCTTCACAATGGGCCAGCCCGCTACATCTAGTCAAAAAGGAAGATGGTAGTTGGAGACCGTGCGGGGATTTCCGCAGACTGAATAGCGTAACGGTCCCGGACAAGTATCCACTTCCGCACATCCAAGACTTCACGTACCATTTGGCGGGATGTAAAATATTCAGCAAAATCGATCTTATTAAAGCGTATTTCCAGATACCAGTGGCCGACGAGGATAAGCATAAGACAGCGGTAACAACTCCATTTGGGCTGTTCGAGTTCAATCGAATGCCATTTGGCTTGCGCAACGCCGCGCAAGCGTTTCAACGATTCATCGATACAGCGTTACGTGGTTTGGAATATTGCCACGCATACATAGACGACGTTTTGGTAGCATCCAAGGACGAAAGAGAGCACAAGCAGCACCTGGAAGAGATATTCAGACGCTTGAAGAAATTCGGCTTATCGATCAACGTAGCAAAGTGCAATTTCGCGGAAGAAGATATTGAATACCTAGGGTACAAAGTAACCAAAGACGGCATACAACCTCTGGAGAGGAGAGTGACCGCAATTACTGAATACAAAAAACCGACCAATACTGCCGAGTTACGAAGATACTTGGGCATGATAAACTATTACCATAGGTTCAATTAAAAATGCAGCGGAAGTTCTAGCGCCGCTCAACCGATACTTGATTGGTAAGAAAGAAAAGAGACAAACAGGCCATCGACTGGTCAGCAGAGACGGAAGAGGCCTTCCATGAGAGTAAAAAGTGATTGGCAGAGGCGACACTACTGGCACACCCTTTCGAGAACGCTAAGCTAGCAATTAAAACGGACGCTTCCAGCAAGGCGATGGGAGCGGTTCTCGAATAACTTCAAGGCGAAACGTAGAGACCGTTAGGTTTCTTCTCCAAGAAATTGTCCGAAACGCAGCAAAAGTACAGCACATACGATCGTGAACTTCTAGCCATATATTCATCATTGAAATTTTTCAGACACATGTTAGAAGGACGCGAGGTGACAATCATAACGGATCACAAACCGTTACAATACGCATTCCAGAAACCGTTAGACAAGGCATCCGAGAGACAGAGGAGGCAGCTGAGCTTCATTAGCGAGATCACCACGAAGATTGTGTACATCGCTGGGAAGGAGAACACGGTAGCAGATACGTTGTCACGCGTAGAAGCCATTGACATGCCGACAGTAGTGACAACGGACGAATTATACGAGGAACAACGAAAGGATGAAGAGCTAAAGACGCTACTCGAGTCTAACACAGCGCTCACCTTGAAGAAACTTCGTTTGGACGATGGAGACAAGACCATCTACTGCAACGTCACAGACGAAATTAGAATATACGTTCCGACATCGTTACGGAGAAGGATATTCGACGTCACGCACAGAGCTTCACACCCGAGCGGCCGTACCACGAGGAGGATGATCGCGCAGAAATTCGTGTGGCCTAGCATGAGGAAGGACATCGCACGATGGGCAAAGACATGCCTAGCCTGCCAGAGAGCTAAGATCCACAGGCATAATGTACGTAACCCTGAGTATATACCGATACTTAATGATCGATTCTCGCATATACATGTAGATATAGTGGGACCCCTTCCTCCTTCAAGAGGGTTCCGATACTGCTTAACCATGATTGATAGAACTACAAGATGGCCGGAAGCAACGCCAATCGCGGATTGTACAGCGGATACAGTGGTCGACGCGTTCTTTAATACATGGATCTCGCGATATGGATCACCAACAACAATCACCACCGACAGAGGAGCGCAGTTTGAGTCAGCGCTATTCGACGCCCTAGTCAAATTAATTGGAAGCAGGAGGATTAGAACCACAGCCTACCATCCGCAATCGAATGGGATGATCGAGAGATGGCACCGTTCACTTAAATCAGCGATAAAGTGCCATGAGACGCAGAATTGGGTAGATACCCTACCAATGGTTCTATTGGGCCTTCGTACCAGCTATAAGGAGGACATCCAAACCTCAGCGGCGGAACTAGTTTATGGCAGCACTCTAAAACTGCCCGGAGAATACTTCACCTACGAAGATCCGATCGGATACCCGCAAATCTTCGTGGAAAAATTGAGGGAGCGGATACGCCAAGTACGAAAACCGACGAGAGCTCATCACGCCAAGATCAAGACATTTATCCACAAGGACCTGGAGGACGCCACGCACGTGTTCGTTCGGGTGGACCACCCCAGAGGACCCTTGGAGTTGCCCTACGAAGGGCCATTTCGCATAATCGAAAGAACCTCTGATTTCCTTTACAGAATCAACTATAAAGGACGACCGGAGGAAATAAACACCGATAGGCTGAAACCAGCTTTCACCGAGAGTGAGAGAGAAGAACTACCACCCCCAGAGGGCGGAGATCATCAGCAGCCAGGGACATCGGACGCATCACCCAGCCAAAGAGAGGGACGATCCGAGCGGAAAATCCAATTCGCGACTCGAACTGCGAGTCACTAGAGGGGGAGTACTGTGGCGGCCCACTTGTCCAATTCCCCAGACGGGGAAATACGCAGATGGCGACAGCGGTCGACATTGCATGGAGACTCTTCTATAGCATACTTGTTCAAAGTCTCAGCCAACAAGAACACACATTCCCAAAGATTCCCAAAAAAAGTATAGTTAGTTTCCGATCCCAGTAATTTTAAGTTCCTCTCGTTTTTCTGTGACCATAAGTTGGTCGCGGCTAGATTTTGTATTTTTGCAATAAACTTATTGTTAGAGTTAATAAAGTGACCGGAATTATTGCTGTCCTAAACTTCGGCGTTACAAATCGCGCCCCAGAGTAACACGAGACTCGAAGGGCGTATCGGCGAGAACGCGCACGTGGCCTGAACGCCATAATGTCTCGCTCCATGAAAACGTAGGAGACGTTAGCGGCGAGATATTGAATCAGGATTTACCCCCATTCTTTTGCAGCAATATCGATGGGAGTGGGGGAAATATCTGGCTATGCATAGCTACGTGAAATCGCACCTTTAGCGGCACAGTTACACGTAATAGCGGCGCCCAGCGTTTGACAGGCACGGGCTGCTTCGCAACTATTGATGATGTTAATTGATATTATGCGATTGATTTTATGAATAAAATTAATATATTTCGCATTTCTATAACTGATAGAGATAATACATATCAATAATAATGATATGTGTCCTATTTAAAAATTTTTTCGATCTTAAAATGCAGAAGGTACTGAAAGTGCAATAAGTGCAACAAGTTTAATAAAGCCGGTCTTACATAGCGCGCGAATTGGCACGAATATGAACGTGTCTCTTGACATTTTATTACATTTTATTATTAATCATGGATGTGTTAGACGAGATCGAACATGTGGCTGACGTTCGAGAAGTAAATGCAATACGTAATCGTGATCCGCGAGTGTTTCGAAATAAAATAGACGCTTTTAAAATTTATAATGATCGCGAGTTTCGACAACGATATAGATTAACGAAAGAATGTGCGCGTTACGTGATTTCCTTGGTAGAAGAAAGGTTATCACCCCTTTCTGGTAGGAGAAATGTTGTTACACCAACTCTCCAAATCCTCATCGCTCTGCGATATTACGCTAAGGGTTGTTATCAAATTGAATTGGGTAAGTTAAATTTTTTAAGTTTTAATCTTTAATAATTATTATAAATTATTTATTGTATTATGTTAGTGAAAAAAAACTGTTATAAAACTAAAAATTTCTTATTACAGGAGATTTGCATGGTGTATCGCAGCCAACAGTGTCTAGGATCGTCGCTTCCGTATCGCGAGTTTTGGCAGATTTACTGCCACAATTTATAAAATTTCCACCGCGAATAGAAACACTTCAGCAGGAATTTTATAACGTAGCTTGTTTTCCTATGGCTGTGGGCTGTATTGATTGTACTCATGTACCAATAAAATGCCCCAACCAGGAATAAGCTGCGTTATATATAAACCGGAAGGGTTTCTATTCGTTAAACATCCAGGTGGTTTGTGATGCTGAACGACGTATACTGGACATTGTTGCTCGATGGAGAAGCAGTGCCCATGATGTGCGTATATGGGATTCATGTTCTCTCAAGGACGAATTCGAGGTAATAATTTTGTTAAGTATAATTATATATATTTAGATATAGAGAAGGGGATTGTTTCATCCATAAAATACATTTTAATATTTATGCTGTCATTGATTATATAAAGCTATGATAATTATTTTAAGTTGTCCAAAATTATTTATTCTGTGATTTTAATTATAGCATTAATATTAAAGAGTGATAAATGTATTTCACATTAAAACCACTTTTTTCATTTATAAGTAATTAATATAATTATTATATTTACATATGCATTTATGTATAATATAATATATGCTGATAAATTTACAGGCAGGTAGAATACGAGGTATTTTGCTTGGGGATTCCGGGTACCCTTGTAAGCCATACCTCTTAACACCAATTTTAAATCATCGTAATCCTTGTGAAGAACGTTACAACGCATCTCATATACGGACCCGGACCATCGTGGAGCGCTGCTTTGGTGAATGGAAAGGCATGTTTCGTGCCTTGCAAAATGGAATGCAGATCTCCCTTTGTACAGCAAAGACAGCCATCATAGCGATGGCTGTCTTATATAACATCAAGAAAAATTTTTATGATAACAATCCGTATGGTATGTTATACAGGGTCATCGAAAAGTATCGGACCCCCCTAATATCTTCAGTTAGAATGCATTTTGGAGAAAATGTCCAATAACAAAGTTGTATGGTTTCAAGCGGGGAGTAAGATGATGACCTTGACTTTGACCTTGACCATGTCCTTCAAGGTTATTTCAAGGTCAACCTTATTTTTTTAAATGAAACTCCCTACATTTTATTGCATATTTTTATAGCTTATCTCGAGAGCTTTCCAAAACACTAAGTTAACAATTTGTGTTAAGTGGCGTGTGATTCCGGCCAGTTAAGGCAAGAGTGGCGTGTGGGTCCGGCCAGTTAAGGCGAATTTCATTCCAATTGGTCAACTTGGGCAAAATATTCAATTGTACCAAACAATTCACAACAAATGTTCAAATTGTTGCCTTTCAACAGTCTGGCAATGTGCCAATCTGTTATAAACAGCTGAAACCGCATTCCGGTACGTTTCCGGCGGAAACTTAACACGTAGCGACAGCAGGAATGATATGCGTTGTTATTTTTTGTTGCCATGCGATCCTCGTTGTTGTCACGTTTAGAGTGTACAGCCCACGATCTAGCTACGCACAACGCGCGATTATTCGTCAATCCCTTTTAATTAATATCTCAATTACTATTGCGAAAATTGCAAAACGGTAAAGGACTTTTCTATCAAGAGACACGGCAGTGTCTCGCGCCAAGTTCACGCGCAGCGCAAGACCGACCGTGTATCTTTACGCGAGACCGAAAGTTGAGACGAGCCGAGATTATCGGATCTCAGTAATGCCTGAGTCGATCGATTTAAAAATAGGCTCAATCGATAGCGCTTACCCAAAATATATAATAAAAGTATGCTTGTTTTTGCTCTATATGCTGTATAAATAAAGATATTAAAGTTTAAAGTCGAAATGTCATGAAAACTATGAAAATTATTTCAGTCGTCTGGGATGTACTTTATAAATTCTTGCCGATAGATGGCTAGTATCTCAGATGTACACATATCGGCATGTATCGCCGGCAACGCATGCGCAAGCCATGTACATGCGAAGCGCGGAGCTCACATGTACAATGTGACTTGCGCATATATGCGGTAATCTTTTCATTCCTGCTGCTGCTGCTGCTGTTTGTGTCTCAAATCTGGCCACACAGCGGTATACGTGTGTGAAATAAAATATGTGTAATACTCCTACATTGCTGATTGTGCTTGAGAGTTTCGAAAAATATTACGGTGCGGATGATATTTGTTTCTCACTTTAGAGCAGACTCTGTGCGTTGTGCGCAAGCGTTGTACCTATACATATATCCCGTACGCAAGCTACAGACGTCGCGCACGTGCAGAACGGCCAAATCGTGGTAATATAATGTAATATCTGCTAGTTTCTATTTTTCATTGTCAGTATAAATTGTGAACATGTTAAAAATAATTATATGTAGTATATTGTTTTTAAATAACTAATCAAATGAATAATACGTACTAACATATTTAATTAATTATCTAACTCATGTACTCAATGTATTTGAATATCGTTTTTGAATGCCACTTATAAATTGCAAATTGAATTTAACTATGTAATACGAGTTTGTAATTCTATTTATACCAACTATAATTAAATTATTTATTAAACTGAAAGAGATGATAATAGGTCAAGGCCTAATAGAGACTAAATGAAATAGATAATTATAAACGTAATATATACAGGGTGTCCCATTTAACTTGAGACAACTAAATATTTCGAAAAATAAGCATTGTACGAAAAAATGTCCCAAATAAACTTTTAATATTATCAAGGGGGACGTCTGCCTGTGTAAAAATTAACCTGCCGCCACCGCTCCTTGGAGGTGGGGCGGGTGGCAACTTTGAAATTTTAAATAGGAACCCCTTATTTTTTATTGCAGATTCGAATTTCTTGGAAAAAAATACGTAAGTTTTGTCCGAGACATTTTTTCGAATCGTGATAGATGGCGCTGTAATCAGTGAAAATTAGTTTTTGCCATTTTCTCTCACCATCGGGGTGCTTTATTTCGGTGAGTCCCCTCGCCTCTCACTATTTAATTACAATAAATGCTCGAAATGATGACTTTCCATTTCGATGCATTTATTAACTCGAGCTTGGAATGCTTGTACACATGTAGAAAGTGTATCTGGCGTTATTTGTGCGCAAGCATATCTAATACGTTCCACCATGTTTTCTCGAGTATTTGGTACTTTTGTATACACTTTCTCTTTAAGGTAACATAAAATTATTTTAACTTTCTTCTCTAAAGATAAATAATCCATTATTTATTTACTGACATAAAGAACGCGTCCGTAAAAAAACAAGTAGCTAGCGTACGTATTACTGAAATTTACTTGACTTGAAATTTAAAGAATCCAGTTATTGAAGAATTGTTCTGACTTAATTTCTTTCATTTATTTTGTTTCTCCTTTTCAGTATTTTCAGTATTTCAGAAATTTACTACATTTGTAGATGCCTCATAGTTTTGGTACGCTAGCTACTTGTTTTTTACGTACGCGTTCTTTATTTCAGCCATTATTAAATAAATAATGGATTATTTATCTTTAGAGAAGAAAGTTGAAATAATTTTGAAAGTTGAAATAAATTTACCTTAAAGAAAAAGAGTATACAAAAATACCAAATACTCGAGAAAACATGGTGGAACGTATTAGATATGCTTGCGCACAAATAACGCCAGATACACTTTCTACATGTGTACAAGCATTCCAAGCTCGAGTTAATAAATGCATCAAAATGGAAAGTCATCATTTCGAGCATTTATTGTAATTGAATAGTAAGAGGCGAGGGGACTCACCGAAATAAAGCACCCCGATGGTGAGAGAAAATGGCAAAAACTAATTTTCACTGATTACAGCGCCATCTATCACGATTCGAAGAAATGTCTCGGACAAAACTTACGTATTTGTTTCCAAGGAATCCGAATCTGTAATAAAAAATGGAGATTCCTATTTGAAATTTCAAAGTTGCCACCCGCCCCACCCCCAAGGGGCGGTGGGGGCGGGTTAATTTTTATACAGCCAGACGTCCCCCTTGATAATATTAAAAATTTATTTGGGACATTTTTTCGTACAATGCTTATTTTTCGAAATAT